ACTAGTATTCTAGTGGCTGTACTAGATTCTTCAGAATCAAGCCCAAATCTTGTGAACGGGGATGATGTAAAGAAATAGCCTAATTTAAAACTTTTTGCAACATATGATTTGTCTTCAAAAAGACCACATTTCCTACATGTAAATTGAGGCAGCGAGATTTTGCAGTGATGGGAGCTAGTTTAAAACACTTAAGCTGACTAAGAGACAATTGCTTAGTAAGATTTTGAATTGCCTTCAGTCCAAGGCCTTTCCTTTTGTTTAAGTACACTCCAGTGAATGGTACTTCACTGACTCAGATAAATTACCAAAGCAGAATGTTACAGAAATAATGTAGATGTATGCATAAAGTAGAAAGATGGAGAGGCAGAAGACTTGTATTTATTAGCAGCTCTGCTATGGTATGTGTTATATGTTAAGCAAATCTGCCTTGGCTTTGAGGAACAAAACTCCTTTGAAAGCCAGAGTCCAGAGCAAAGCTTGGGTACTTAGAACCTCTGAATATCAGATTAGTTGTTTCTGTGCCTCAGTTTTTCTTTCTGCAAAATGGAGATGAAACCAGCTTTTGACCTGTATTTTTGTAAACACCATATAAAGTGCTGACTGTTATTTGAAATTACTATTACAGTTCATAATGTGTAGACAAAATTGGTATCTTATGGCCTGTAAAAAAATACTCTGTATGTTATGTGTATCTGAAATGTACATGCTACTCAGTCCGCTGAACAAATTATTTGACTGTTCTTGATGCTGCTTTTTCTTCAAACCTTTATTGAACCCTTAGCGTACCTCCATTTTGTTAAAATAAGACAATGCAAACAGACATGGAATCATATAATCTGAAAAGAAACAGTATTCTTTTGGGATCTAACAAACAGATAAATATTTAAGCTCTAGTAACCATTCAGTAAGCTCATAACTCGCCTTGAGATCAGATATTTTGATGCTATCAGTGTAGATACAGAAGGAAAAACCCTTTAAGTCAGAGGCTTGCACATGTGCTTAAATTTAGGCACAACCTGAAGTGCTTAATGGATAGGAAGGAACTAATGCCTCTGGCCCTAAACATCAAACATTTTAAGTAGATGCATTAGTGATAACAGAAATACAAGATCTGCCTCCCTGCTCTCACCACTGCTTCTAATGTACTCTAACATCTTAGGAAACAAGACCAAATGGACAAAACAGAGGGTCTACCTGTTAAGAAATGCTTCTGTTTTCCTTTTTCTCTGTTACCTTTTGTAACATACAGCAGCATCAGTAAACTCCTTTGCAAGTGCTTAACTTCCCTGAAATCATAACTCTGTGAAAATTAGACAAAAGAAGCACTAACAAATGAAATGCTATTGGAGGCAACAGGACATGGTCAGTTTTTACTTAGCCTGATTCTACTGTTCAAGACATTTCTTGAACACACTAAGCAATATATGTACTAATTAGCCTCCATTAGCAGATAGTGAGAACCCTTAAATACTTCTTTAGTGCCTTAATTAACTAAGAGGGTTTACATATTCTCCCTTTCTTTTTCTTCTCTTTTAAGGAAGGACATTTATCTCTGCTTGACATACATTTCTTCAGCAAATTTCCATACCCAACAATTTGCCACACACAGGTATTAACAGCTTGCTGTGAAATCACCCGATGGTTTTCAGCTTCCCTGAAGTTAGAATCATAGAATCGTTAGGGCTGGAAGGGACCTTCAAAGGTCATCTAGTCCAACCCCCCTGCAAGGAACAGGGATATCTCCAACTAGATCAGGTTGCTCAGGGCCTCATCCAACCGGGCCTTGAACGTCTCCAGGGATGGAGCATCCACCACCTCTCTGGGCAACCTGTTCCAGTGTTCTACAACTCTCATGGTAAAAAATTTTTTCCTAATATCCAACCTGAACCTACCTCCCTCTATTTTAAAACCATTACCCCTTGTCCTATCACAACTGGCCCTCCTGAACAGCCTCTCCCCATCTTTCTTGTAGGCCCCCTTGAGGTACTGGAAGACTGCTATAAGGTCACCCCGGAGCCTCCTCTTCTCCAGGCTGAACAGCCCCAACTCTTTCAGCCTGTCCTCATAGGAAAGGTGCTCCAGCCCTCTTATCATCTTCGTGGCCCTCCTCTGGACCCTCTCCAACTGGTCCATGTCCTTCTTATGTTGGGGACTCCAGAACTGGACGCAATACTCCAAGTGAGGTCTCACGAGGGCAGAGTAGAGGGGGAGAATCACCTCCCTCGACCTGCTGGCCACGCTCCTCTTGATGCAGCCCAGGACGCGGTTGGCCTTCTGGGCCGCAAGAGCACATTGCCGGCTCATATTGAGCTTCTCGTCCACCAAGTTGTTTTACCACTGGCAGCACTGGCTTGCTATTTTGCAGCTACGTGGAGTTGGCTCTAGCTTACACCAAATAGAAGGTGTTGCTTCAGACTGCCAGAAGAGTCTGAAGCCTTGCCCATCTCGAGATAAAAGCATCTCCGAATGAGCCTTGTTTTAATGGCAGACGCTTCTGACTAACTGGGCTATGTAGCTTAGTGTCTGCTCAGGGTGGCAGACGTCAAAAGCATTCCAGATGTGCAGGGCCTGGTTACACTCGCCTGCTGCTACAGTAAGGGAATATACATCACTACTTTCTGTAATTCTTATTGTTTTGGACTAAGTTTACCCTGAGGTAGAGAACAAATAGAAGACTACAGTCATTTGAAAATGCACAGGCACAGCCATCTGAAGAGGTAAATTCCAATGTTCATATGGATCGTGCCATACTATCAATGTATTTTCCAAATCTATGGACTATCTTTTTTTTGGTCGAAGTTTTGAAACCTTGAACAAACCCCATGTCTCTAATAACTCAATTTATGAATCTGGCCCTGAATCTTTTTACTTTTTTGCATCAAAAGTTACTACTTCTGGTTGTTTCTAATTTTCCGGTGTTGCTATGCTATCTGTTATCATTAGATGTTCTGTTATAAGAATCTTCTGCTCAATTTTACGTATTTGGATAGTCTTCAATTTAATTTCTCGGTTTTTATGTCTGGCCCTAAGGTGATCCTTCTCTGTGATTGTTTCACCAGTTGTATGTTTAATACAATCACAGCATGAAATTCTATCAAAATTGAGTTTTACTTAGGTAAAATACTTTCAAAATTGAATTTATGCCTTTTAGAGTTGAGTGGTGTTTTTTTTTTTAAACTTTGTTAGTAATTTTAGCCCTAGCAAAAAAATGTAATCCTGGAGGTATATTTCATAGACAGGAAATGTGTCTACCTCCCTCTTTATTTAGTTTTTCTCCTTTCTTTCAGCCTCATAAAAATTGCAGATCCTTTGGGATTTTCAGTCACGTTTTGATTATGCCTCAGGTTAACTACTTCAGCTCATTTTTGGTAGGCTTCAAAAGGTAGTGCTTACAAACATTGAGTTGTGAGCTCCCACCTGTCAGATGTTCAGGATGTCCAGAATGTAAAGCTACTACATTTTGACAATAAGGCACCAACAAGAATGTCACCAGATCACCAATTTAAACTGCTGCAGCTAGCCTGTCTGATTTTGCCTGAAGCAAATGAGGGAGTGATGACAAGAGTTGCTCCCTAGTAAGTGGGTAGGAAGGACAGGGAAAAGAGCTGGTGAGACAGCATCTCAGAGTGGGAATGGGGAAAGGTAACCATGAAAGGTTACCAGGACAAGTCGGTCTGAAAGCAAATGCCTATCCATGGGTGCTTACAAAGTGCATTTGTGGGTTTTGCCACAAGTGTCTCATTTGTTCAAGGTTGCATTGCAAGTATTTAGGAGGATGGGGAAGAGACCACAAGTACCTTTGATTTATACTCTGCTGCTCTACAGCCTGCAGACTCAAGTTTGCCAATAAGCATTCCCAGGACTATACACTGGCTTGTGGTTTTAATGAGGCATCATGGGATGAAAATATGATGGGGTGGTGTCCCTCTAATATTTTAATGTTGAATAATTAGCCCTGCTGCTGTAATGGTGTTGTGACAGCTGGAGCTCAGGGAGCAAGTGGGTACAGGCTGGAGCATGCAAAAAATTCAGGCTTGTGCCCTCAGTTTTCTAGCAGATCTGCTAGGGCATCTGTGCTGCAGGCTTGCATTTCTCAAGTGTCCACGTTCCTCTTAAGTGAAATGAAATACTAGGAATGCAACTGATACTTTGGAAGGCACTTTTTTCTTCTATCTCCTTCTGGTGTACAGTAACAGAGATTAACAAAGTTTGTCAGGATGTGTGCTTCTATTACTATCACATGTAAACAATCCAAAGGCTTTTCAGAGGAGTGGTTGGGAAAAGGCTGTGAATTATGTGGTGGGTTAATTCCAGGAAACTGTTGTATCCAGTCTGAGATTAGTACTAATAGCCTGCTTCATAGCTATTATTTCATTATTGTTGGGTTTTGTTCCTATACCAGGAACTTCTCTTCCAATGCAGAGGATTTTGAATGAAATGCATCTGAATTTGTCTGCAAAATGTTTGAGTAGAGTACTCTGAAAGTAGTATGTTCCAAACGAAGCCCTTTTCATAAGAAAAAAGAAGCAAAGTATAGAGAGGTGAAGATGATTGATAGAAAGATTTCCCACCTGTTTCTCCTTTTCATATCCCATCCAAAAGACTGTGATAGAAACAATATCAGAATTTGGGAAGCAAAAGTAGATGTTTTTTTCCAGGTCCTCCTGTCCTGTCTTGTTCCTGCTCCTTCCCCCTCCCTCAGCTCCTGAATTCAAAATAGTAAATACCTGCCTGAATTTTGTCCCTAAACACACCTGTGTTTCAGTCTGCCTACCAAAACCAGATATATCCTTTGCTGTGGGAGTATGACTTCAGTGCAAACCAGAAGCAAGATGGAGACAGTACTTGTTAGAGGAAGCCAAAAGCAAAAAATATCCAGTGGTGGCTGACTGTGCCTTGCAGAAGGGACCTCAAGCACTGATGAGTTTCTAAGTATTGCAGTAAATGCACCCAGCATTTGTCTCACACTCTGTTGTTAAAACCTGGTGTTTCTTTTCCAGGTGTCTTGTTTTCCCTGGTAGTTGTGATGTATGTCATCTGGGTCCAGGCGATGGCCGATCTGGAAAACTACACAAACATGAAAAAAATGGATTGCCCAGACTTTGCTGTTTATGTACGCTATGGCTGGTCTTTTATGCTGGCTCCTATAGGAGTATTTTTTGCTTTT